AGTGAATGGTGTGTGAGTGAATGGTGTGTGAGTGTGCCCTGCGAGTGTGCCCTGCGATGGGTTGGCCCCCCATCCTGGGTTGTTCCCTGCCTCGTGCCCGTAGCTTCTGGGATAGGCTCTGGACTCCCCGTGACCCAGAAGGATAAGTGGTTTGGGAAATGGATGGATGGATTCAGTTAAACTGCATTTCCAGTCTTTTCTGTTTAACCAACTGCAGCCTTAGTTCACAAGTTTTGTGTGTGTTAAAGGATGATATTTTGTGCAATTTCTGGAGAGGCTACCTGCACAAGAGTCAACAGGCCTACACCACAAAGCCTTTGTATTCTGTGACATCCCAGCAGGTGAGTTTGTGCTTTGTGTGAATATAATTACCTTTCTCATCCAAGTCTCAAGGGAGGGTTATAATTTTACAACAGCTTTGGCTTTAAAGTAAAGAAAATCAGAAATGTGGCGCTTTATGTAAGAAGGCGATAGGGCTTCGTATGAGGAACAGGACCAATGTTCAGGAGTCATGCCCTACAGTAGTATTCTGCATTATTCGGTGTAGTAATAGCCTTTTTTAAAGTAAGTGATTCATTAACTTGAAGTTGTCCTTTTCTTGCTGTATAACCAAATGTATTCCATGGAGTATTTTAGCATTTGCGTTGGATAAAATGCATGTATCACTTATGGGTGCTCTCTTTCTTTGGCATTTCCTATTTTTTGGTCATGACATCATCATTTCCTGAGGCGTTGTAGGAGTCGGACAGCTGCCCTGAATCCTTGGCCGCAAGTGAATTGTCCTGCTTGTCTAAGGCCGAGACTGAGAGTGATATGGACGGCGCTCGCAGTACCATCTCAGGTACTAGAATGCCACGATTAGACACATGGTGGTCAGTCACAGTCCACAGCCAGGCTAGCCAGTATCTTAGTAACTCCCCCGCAGAGTTCAGGGGGGATGTGGTCTTCATAGTGTTCCATTGGTCTCTATTTTGCATCCTTTAGTCTGCAGATTCATTCTTTATGGACTATATAATTGTTTCAAAATTACATATCAGTTCCAAAAGGATCTTTCCTATGAGTTTAGTTAGGAGGTAAACAAAGCCCATCTAATTAAGCGGAGAACAGCACATGCCCTGGGTGTCAGTGACCAGCCAAGGCACCTGCAGTATTATAGAGGGGAGGGAGAGAATTAAGACAGTTTAGCTTTGGGAACTTTGGGAACTAGAGCCCCCTACTGGGCATGGCAGGTTAAGCAGCAGGAGGCTGTAAGCAAAAGGTTTTTAGTTAGTTCCAGCTGGAACTCTGCTGAGCCACTACAATTAATTGGAGTTAAACGTAATGGGTGACGTGTAAGCAGTGGCTTTTCAGGTTGGTCCAGCGACGGGGGGAGGCTGTCCTCTGTGTGCACCGAAGCCCTGGACTCCAGCTTGTACTGCTCTGCCCGAGAGAGGAGGATGCACCATCTGATGACCATGCCCATGACGCTGGCCTTCCTGCACCTGTCCCTGCTGTGGCTGCAGGAAGCAATCACCCTGGCTGACCTGCTGAGGTGTGTGTGGGCTGGGGGGGTGCAGGGTGGAGGTGTTTTTAGGTTTTTTTCCGCACTGCCCCCATACATTGACTTCAGTATGTCAGTATGATTGGCATGATCTCATTCTGCGTGCTCCTGTACCAGCCAGGGTTCCCGCGGGGTCTTAAAAAGCATTAAAAAGTCTAAAATTCAGAAAGTTCAATTTAAGGCCTTAAAATGTCTTAACTCCCAGATTTTCATTCTATGTCTTAAATTTAATTTACCCAAGTCTTAAAATTATTACCTCCGTTTATTCGCAAGAAGCGTTGTCTGCAGAAAATAGTAAAACGTTGTAGAACTAATCCGTTGGTTGTGTTTTCTGGTCTGCACCGGTGTCTGCGTGGTGATAAAACTACAAATCCCATTGCGTGATCACTGCAGCTAGGCAAACAACAGTTTGAGAAGGGTCTGTCAATACCGAAAATATTATACCTACCGAAAATGTAACTTCTGCCACTACATATGTGCACATTCATCACGCATGCGTCCACGAAACCACATCATAATGTTTTTCCTAATGTTATTGCTGAATAGATGCCTTTTCTTTAGAAAACGTAATAAAATTGGGGTGTATATCAATCTTGTGTACCCATATTGCTTATCAAGGGGCTGTGATATATGTACAGCATTTAAAAAAAAAAAAAAAAAAAATCACACCTAAATAATAGTTAAGAACTTTTATTTGCAGAACATAAACAATGTTCATGTTGTGCGGTTTGGCCCAAGAAAAAATAATTGGTCGTCTGTCAGAAACAAATATAATTTGCTTCATTTAGCACCACAAAACACAGCTGCCATAACTGACACGAGTGTGTGGTAATTACACTGACACAATTAAGAAATTAAATGACTAAGGAGAAAAAAAGCAGGCTTAGTTTAAGTAACTTCACAGCACATCGAACTGGGAGTAGTACATAATGGTAACATTAAAGTAATGTCACCTTTGACTGTAAAATTGATGGCCATACCCTGTATTTTACGTCGCTCCTTCTGAAGCACATTGGGCATTAAAGGCCTTTGCGAAATAAAATCTTTTAAAGTCGAAGGACTCCATCATTATCCGGTTAAATCTTCTCTTTCCTCTCGCTGTCGACATTCTCATCAAAAATCAACGGACGATGAAATGTGGCGTTAAAATAGCACGCCTCCTTCCAGAAGTCGTGCGCATGCGTAGTAGCGGAAGTTACATTTTCGGTAGGTGTAACATTTTCGGTAGTGACAGGCGGGTCTGGCTGCAGAACGTGCACTTCCAGCCACTGACGTCAGATGCACGCTCAGCCACAACAGGAAGTGCAGGGGAATCAAGCGCTAACTTAGTTCTTGAGGCCAATGTGAACGGTATGTTGTTTTATTATTTGTATTACTGAATGATATACTTACAAATTTATTTCATGACATACATTATTGCAATGTAAATGTTTTGATGTAGTGCGTTAGTAACTTTTTTTCTCTGACTGGAGTGAATTTTTTCAGTTAAGGCAACTACTAGCCAGTTGGCTCACGTTATCTTATCATAAAATAAACACATTTCTACTTTTACAGAGCTTTTCATGGAGTTACCTTGTGAATGTCTGTTTCCAGCATGTTTTAGTTGTTTGTGTGGTCTTCAGGAGAACGTTTCTCAGTCTCATTATGGCAAGGCAAGACAAGTTTTTATCATCATTCACAGGGGTTATTTAATGTGCTTTATAAAAACAAGATTTAAAACAGTTACAGTAAACCAAGACAAGAAAGCAAAATAGAAATGAAAAAACTTATTTGAATAAAAATTTCCTCGAAAATCTAAAATCTGATTAAAAATGCACATCATGCAGTCCTGCCCCGCTCGACCACTCCTCCCGTGTGCCACGCCCCCTCGGTAACCTCCTGTGGAATCCCCATGTTCTCAGCTGTTTCCAGTTGTTTTAATTAGTCCAATATATTTAAGACCGCGCCAAAGTATGTTTCCCCAGTCCTGTCATTGACGTCCGTCTTGCGTTTCTTCGATGTTCCTGTTTTCTCTCCCTTCTAATAAACCCTCGTTCACCCGATCTCACGGCGTCTGTGCTACTTCTCCGCCGAAAGGCGTGACACAGTAAATGTACAGCTAAAAATCAGACAGTTAGAGGTTTTATATTATATCACAATGTTTTTATTGGTTTGTTTTGTTTAGTTTTTTTAGGCCGGTATCTCTTATCTGAAAAAAATTAACATTTGATTCCTGATGTCGTGTCCAATGTTCTTTTTTTCCATTCAGCTTTTATTAAACACAGTTTGGTACCTCATGGCATATGTAAAGTGCAGTTCTGACATATGGTTTTTAATAACCCAGAATTGTACTATTTTTTTATTCCATTTTACTCTTTATTCTCACACACACACACACACACACACACACACACACATACATACAGGGTATATATACCTTCCTATTGCGGAAGTTACGTTCCAGACCCATCAGCGATAGGTGAAAATCCACGATATAGAAAGACCATATAAATAAACTTTTGTAGTTTGAGCCTTAAAATACCACTCCCACATGCTTTAAACACGTGTAAACTTATTAAAACGCACTTTGTAAACACATATATGTGGATGTTTGACTAAGGATATGAGTGACATAAAATGTGAGAATTTCTGGTATCATTCGATTGTTTCTAGTAATTAATCGTGTTGGTCTTAAATTTTACTCATAATGGTCTTAAAAGGTCTTAAAAATGTCTTAAATTTAACTTACTGAAACCTGCAAGAACCCTGACCAGCACATTGATTACAGTGTTTTAAAGAGGCATACAGTAGGTGTAGTGGTGGCTCCCCCTTATGGCTGTGTTGTGTTTACAGGTTCACAGCTGAGGGCCATATCCCCTACATCAATGCCTACCAGAATTTCCCAGAGGACATGAAGCTCTTTGGCAGAGATGCCCTTATTTTCAGAGTAGAGGTAATGGCTGTTGTTTCACTTCATGTTCTTGAAATTTAACCTTTATTTACCCAGGAGAAATCAGATGATAATGTACGCCGGCTGTATACCTAATCAGCTCACAAACAGCTTTGCATTATGGGAGAAAATATAAACATAACCCGAAGACAGCAGACTACACAGACCCTCTCAGCCACATGTGGATGGATGGATGGATGGATGGATGGATGGATATACTTTATTGATCTCGACTGGGAAATTCTTTTGTTACAGCAGCAAAACATAAATGAAATGCATACCACAATACACATAGCTTAAATATAAGAAAAGGAAGAATTTTAAGATAAAATAGAAAACTGGAAGCTCAAGTAAGATAGATGCCGTAAGTAATCAGACAGATTAGTAAGGGTATTGGAATAATCCCCAATATGCCACAGTAGCTGGAATAACTATGAGGGTGCAAGTATAAAACATGAACGTTCCACTTGCAGCCTGCAGTGTAAACAGTGTGCAAATGTAAATGACTGATGAAAAGCAATGAAGTACAATATGTAAGAGGGGTTCTTTAGAGTAAATAATTGGTAATAAATACAGACCCCATATGTAACTTGGAGGCTGTAGCAGGAGATAAACCACAGTACTCTGTGCATATCTGACTGTCAGCGCTGAGCTGTTACCCAGTCTAGTGGCTGTTGGTTAGAATGATCTCCACACCACTCTTTGTGACATTAACACATTAGATGACGTTTATTTTATTCACATGGTATCACTTTTCTAACCTATTTTGCACTGGACTTGGATTGTAGATTTGGACTGAGTCTTATGTGGGTTGGGACTCCGAAGGTTGCCAGTTCAAATCCCTGGCAGAGCAGAGTGATCCCACCATTGAGCAAGGCCCTTAACCCCAGTTGCTCCAGGAACTGGGTGACCATACTTTCTCCTCTATGCCAGTTTCATGAGGTGACCTGGGATGCTTTTCCAGCTGTCCTGAAGGAGGTCCCACATATATGCTGAGCTCTCATTGGCCGCTTTTCCTTCACGTTCTGGTCAAACTCCTCCTAAACCTTTTCTACTGGGTTTAGGTTGGGTGGACAGGTCATGTGATGCGACACTGTCATTCTCCTTTGTAGGTGGCTTGGCATGTTAGGAAAGACATAAAAAAAAAAAACCTGAATGGTGAACTAAAGAAGGAAAAAAGTTCTGCACCATCTGACCCAACATGGTTTCTAGGGATAATTATTTGAACCTCAAATGAAATATTTGTCCTCTACAGTCCTTACCATCCTACAAGATGGTCCAGGAGGAAGCCCACAATCTGGCCATCTTCTTGGACTTGCCTCGCTTCCCCCCACTGACCTCAGCCTGCCTTCTCCACCCATCCCTGCTCTGTCTCCGATACCTAATGGAACTCAACCTGCCCGGTGGGTCAGTCTGCGCCGTGATCTGCCTCTTACTGACCGCCTGAAAGCCCACATGGGTTGTTCTTACCTTTAACACTGGAATTAAGAAGCCTGAAGAACATCGATGAATCACGATTGATGAATATTTCTCACCCGTAGTGTTTTTACTGATCAGTTTAAATGTGTTCATTATGTTTTAATTTATTTTGCGATGTTTGTGTTCTTGTGAGTTGTATGGTACATTCAACCCCTGATTCATAAGTATTCACAAAGTTACTTAGTGTCTATAAGTAACTCTATCCTAGTAATTTGTTTTTAGTGGCAGACATTTGTAGCTGTACACTGTGAACTTGTGCTGCTGACCTGGAAGGTGTTATTTCTGAAAGTCTCCCTCTTATTTCCCACATGCGTATCTCAGACGAGCTCCATGTCTGGGTCTGCTGGGTGATGCAGCAGGCTGGCGTTGGAAAGGACACCTTCTTGACCTATGACCCTTGGGCTGAGAAATCTGGCCTCCTCAACTATGACATCTTGGCTTCGGCCCTCATTGTCGTCACATTGAAACTGCTGTTCAAGCTGGATGACCAGCAAGAGTGGTTGGTGACTCCCTCCCCGCTTCTTTTAAGTTCAGGCTGTTCTGTTTTCAGCTGTTTGATTTATCTCTGTGTTTTGCCAATATCAGGATGATTCTCACCTATCCATTTTCACTTCAGGTGTTTATCCAATAGTGCTGATGATGAAAACAAGCAAAATCAAGGTAAATTTTGTGAAAATAAGCCATTTTAAGGTTATGTTGGCAAACTGCAAATAAATGCATTACTGTGGTTTTCTAATGCCTGCAGACTTGTATAAACATTTGAAATCAAACAAACGGTTTGTATTAAATCGCATTGCAGTAAAGCCTGGACATGCAGGAGACCCATATCTGGGGCCCCTTTGAACATGTTTATTGGAAAATGGGTTTTTCACTAGCCAGGGCCGAATCTGCAAAACTGGGTAAATGGGTAACTGCTGCCAGACACGCGCGTCCCAGTACTCCTCATTACATCAGCCCAGTTGGGACAGCATGCCAGCTACCCAGTTAGGCATCTAGATCATATGGAATGTTGACCTAATATGGGAAAACTTTTCCATGAGTTTATATGGAAAGGATGCATTTTGTTGCAATTTTTCCTCCACTGTGTGTACAGTCTGAGATCAAGTGCTCATGTCAGGCCTCATTTATCTCATCATCCTTTTAATAGACAGCAGTATCTTCTGCTTTCGGAAGTGGTACAAGACCGTCCAGGGGGCGCTCGTTGTGGCCAAGGAGGCTGAGGAGCAGGCCATGGCACGGTGAGCCCTGTGCGGCTTTCACTCCATTGTGCCGTCTCTCTACATGTCTCTGGCTTTTCCTGTCACTTTCTGTCTTCCTTCTGGGATACAGGACACTACTCCCACTCAGCCAGCTCTGATTGGCTGTTGTCATGGGCTACCTTCTATACCGTACTCCTATAGTATCCCACCCTTTATTTTCATTTGCTGGTTGTTAATGATGCCCAACCCCTCTTCAGATTTGCATATTAACATGGATGTCCTTCCTGATATGTCAATAAACACAATATCTGTGCAACGCATGTATGTTTTCCTGTTTTGCCATAATGCACTGGATATATGAATCAGTCTGAAGTTATTTACGCTTAAGGTAGCTAATGCCCTAGGTAATTTCAGTTCATTTTTTAAGTCAGTTATTTTTAAGTGTGTTTCCTTTTTCATTTAGTTTCAGTTTAGTTTTATTTGACCATTTTTATTTCATTTCGTATTTTTACTGTACTTTAATTTTAGTTTTCGTTTATTTTTATAAGCCCTTGGTCCAATATTGACAAATCACACCAATTCTGATACCAATATTTTGTGCTGTATTCGATATAGGAAGTCATGGAAGTCGCAGAAGCCTGTGTACCCCTCCATGAGAAATAAATCCGTTGTCATCAAGCGGAGACGTAAGTGTCTATGTGTAGAAGCACAGAAGCTGGCGTTTCCACAGCAGACCAACCAGAATTCTGCTTATTTTATGAGGGTTAATGACAGTACTTCTTGAACAGAACTAGATTTTTTTTAGTAAGTTGTGTCCTGAGTTTGGTGTCTTGCCTTCCCTCTTTCGCTTCCTCTCTTCCTCTCTCTCCCTCTCTTCTTACTCCCTCTCTTCTCTCTTCCCTGTCTGCTTTCTCGGCCCCTCCCAGGGGTGGTGGAGCAGCTCCAGGCGCAGTTCCAGAAGCTCACCGGCTCTGACCCGCAGCCCAGGCAGGATTCACCTTCCAGTTTCCGGTTGCGGTGGGGCGAGGAGGACGGAGGCGGGCCCAGCTACCAGGGGCGGCGCCTGGGCTCCGCCGTGAAGAAGAGGAAGGGATCCGCCAGGCCCTCCAACCCCACGTACTGGCACACGGCGCTGAGTTCCTGTAAGCCAAGGTCAGAGAAGTCGGAAAGTCTGTCCGTCTGTCCATCCACCCACCCATCCATCCATCCATCCATCCATCCACCCATCCTGGTCAGGGTCATGGGGGTTCCTGGAGCTGCTGCCAAGCAGCATACGGTGTAAGGCCGAGGTACACGAGGGGTGGGATGCCCTTCTCAGAAGATAATCCGTCTTTCTAAATATGTTTTTAAAAGGTTTACTGGATTGCGTTTTGTTTAAAGTTTTGCTGGGTTTTTAGCCTGAAATATTTTTGTGAAATGAAACAAGCATTCAGTCAGTCTGCTCATGATAGGGTGGTCGGGTCAGAATCTGTCAGATGAATTTTTTTTTTTTTTTTTTAACAAATAGGGCAGGATGGTTAATTTATTAGCCTAAACAGCAGGCCCCTGGGCCCCAGCGACAGGGGCAGCTTGTACGGTCCGCTCATGCCTCCATGCGAAGGACGCCTTCCAGTGTCCACAAGCCGTCTGCAGAGGTGTGCCGGGCCACCTGTCCTCGCTTCTGCATACGTTTCCCCTTCCCACACAAACGCCTCCTGTGTTCAGGTCCCCCGCACCTTTTCATTAATGCAGGATTTCACGGAAACAGGGGCCACACTGTGCAACTTTGGGAAAAGATTAATTTGGCAACTCGTTCAAGAGCTGAGCTTTTTAATCCGTCCGTCCGTCCGTCACCCAGCTGCTTGCTGAGGGGAAGCCTGGAGTCCATCCTGGGCAGGGAGACGTCCTACAAGGCTGGCCAGGTGGCCTCAGGGCACACGCGGCCTGTGAACTGAGGCTGATGGGAAATCTGGCTTTGGGTGTTTGGCCAAGAAGCTGAATGTGTCTGTGGGCAGAGAGTTTGCTGCTGACACTGTCAGTCTCTGCTGGGCACCCGCTGATCCTTAAAGTCTTAAAGGTGTTCAGCTTATCCACAAATGGCCTGTATTGGTATTAAAGTCCATCTCTTATGGTTCTTAAAAGGTGCAAATGAAACTAACATGGATTTTACACATTCAAGAATGGAAAGACTTTGTACATTGCTACTATTTTGTACTTCAATGTCACACACCGGATTAAGTGGAACCAACAGCATCATTTATGTTTGTAGTGTGAGCGAGGGACACTAGCTGCAGTGACTAAGATGTTGCTCTAAGCTAGTCTGTAAGTATCATTCAAACTCCACAAATTCTGGTTGGGGGACCCCAGTTTCACGACATGGTAGGAACCTGCTAGCAATAATAAATATGAGGCTCGCTGTACCCTGTGCAAGAGATTCTTCATACTCAGCACGAAGGGAACCAAAGCTGAGGAATCCATCCACTTATCCATCACCGCAACCGCTTAATCCCAACCGGGGTCGCAGGGGGGGACCGGAGCCCATCCCAGGAACAATGGGCACAGGCAGGAACCAACCCTGGGAAGGTGCCAACACACTGCAGGACAAGCTGGGGAATCTCACCCTGTATAAGAAACCGCAAACTAAATGGGGACAGTTCAGGACCAGTCGAGTACTCTGTGATTGTTACTTTTGGTACTCAGTTGGTTGACTCAGTCTGGATTTTTAATTACTGGACCTGAACTATCTACCTCTGCAAACGTTCAAAAGTCCTTGGTGTCAACATGGGCATTAAATCCGACTAAACCTACTGGTACCTTGTGCTGAGGATGTTGCCTTTGCATTTGACAGGCACTGCACTGATCACTTCCTGGAGATGGAGGACTCCCTGCCCAGGAGCTACGTGTCCGTGCTGGGCATGGTCTCCTTCCTGCTGGGGGTGCAGGAGACCCACGTGCATGCCGAGGTCTGCCTGCTGGAGCGGCTCCTCTTCAAACGCCCATGCCAGCCTCGCACCAAAACGTCACACGGCAGCAGACGTAAAAAATAGACAGACAAGAAAAAAACTCCAGGATGGATGATGCCTGAAAGGGATTTTTTGTACTTTTTATGCTTGAGAAGCTTTAAGGAATTTGTAACACATACCGTAAAGGTTTTGGAAAATTCAAGGCTTATATGCCGTCTCATATTTGTAGGACTGTAAGCATCGGCTCAATTGCCTGGATTTCAGCATCATATTCATTCTGGGGCCGGTCAGCTGCCTGTTGACCAACCTGCGTATTTTTTTCTGTATTGTTTCCTGTGTGAACATTGCAGTTTGTGTCATCTGATCAAAATCCAATAGGTCAACAGGGTTTATCTGGGTTCTAGTGATTAGCATGTTTGTCAGTTGGTGCCATAGGTTAATAAACACCTTTTGAGATACGATTTAGTATGTTACACATTATACTTATTTAGCATATTTTTTTGTCGTAAGCAGTGTACATTTTTGAAGAAGCAGGGCAGTCAATGTCCTGGGAGCAATTATGGGTTAAGGATCCCGCTCAAGGGCCCAATGAAGAAATCACTCTGCTAACCCTGGGATTTAAACTGGCAACCATTAGACCACCAAAATGAAGATGCTGGGGATTTAGTAGTTTTCTCTATGAGAATGTTGTCCAGTGAGACCACCCAGTTGCTCACGATGATATGATAGGGTATCTTGACATAAGTGTAGCTTTGCCCCACCCCCCCAAAGACGACACAAGCTTGAAGGATAAGAACTTAACTGACGAAGTTATCTAGAGTTTAAGGATGATTCTTTAAAATGCAGCTCCGATTTATTGGAAGTCAATCAATAAGCACTAACTTATAAATTTATGGTATGCTACAGTCGTAAACCCCATGCATTTCACATTGTTCAGTATCATGTCAAATCTTAAGCAAAGAATGTGCACCTTAATCATTATAAATGATGCTTATATTGAAAATGCCTGACGTTTTTGCCCAGTTGCATATCTATAATTTACAACAGCAGTTCAGGTTAAGTGACTTGTGTAATGATAGACTACAATATGGGAATGCCATCTGCTGATAGGTTTATATCGACAGAGTGCAATTACCATAATTGACCAAGAGATGGAGACATACACTAAAATGATAAAGGTTTAGCGCTGAGCTTGCAATGAATCAGAATCAGAATAACTTTGTCATTGTAACAAGTACAGCGAAATTAGGTGCAATCCCCATGTCGGACATAAAGAATTTATATAAATAACAACATATGTACCCAAATACAAAAACATAAATTATAGTCAGTGTAGACAACATTCACTCTACATGAGACAATATTGCACGAGTCCGTATTGCACATGAGGTAGAATTGAGGGGGAAAAAAATAAAAATTAACTGATATTCAGTGCCCTGATGGCAACAGGGTAGAAGCTGCTGTATAGTCTGTTTGTTCTAGCTTTAATGCTCCTATATCTTTTGCCTGATGGCAGCAGTTGGAACAGATCATGAGCAGGGTGTGAGGGGTCTTTTAGAATGTTTTTCGCTCTGCTGAGGAAGCGTGAGTTGTGCAGTTCTTCTAGAGTGGGTAAATGACAGCCGATGATCTGCATTTTGGGTTTTTTTTCTTCTTTTTCTTTTTCTGAATATGTGAATCTTTTTGCTGCTGCTTCTTCATACGGAAGGTGGCTGGGATGAAGAGCCGTCTCACCTCACCCTCAAACCCACAAGGGCATCACCTTCCTCACACCCCGGGCCGGGTTCCCCAGTGCGCCGTGTTTTACACACATCTGCCTGTGTTTGCCTGCAGCACTGAGCCACAGAAGCAGTGTCGGCTCCAAAAAAACAAAAAACGTGCGGTAATTGCACCCCCCCTTCACATACGGACACACACACAGCCCTGCTCCCCTACTAATTACCACCTGCCCCCTGTGTATCCCATGAAGAGTTAGAACTGGCTAGTCACCATTTTAAAAAAAATAATGATATATTTTCGGTGTCCCACTAATTAGACGTCAGCTGCAGGAACACATAATGAATATGTGTGTGAAGCTGCTCTGTGGGAGATTTCTAGGATAAACATTTTGTGTGAGCGAGAGATTAAGTGTTTTTCTCAAATTCCCTGTTTCCTAACCTTCCGTGAAATCCCACGTAAGAAACTGGATACGAGATATGAGATCCGGGGCACGACGGATAAATGCATTGTCAGAATGCAGTCATTTCCTGTTCTCGGAGCTTGGTGTACCATACTCTTACTGGTTGTGCTGGTATATTTGATATGTGCTCTCACCTTCACCCAACAATTGAACTGAATCTCATTACGAGTCCGTTGTATGAAAAAGCAGCACTGCGCCATTTCCTCTAGGCGGTGGGAGTAAGGTAACCATCTGGTCATTTGATTATTACGTCATTAGCTTGAAGCAGCCATAACAATCTATTCCTCTGTGCACTACAATCTGTTGCTTATTAGCAAAAAATATGCTAAGCGGTACCATGGGAATGCCATCGGCATTAGGTCAGGGTTGACTTATTGACTCAACCCAGGTCAATGACCAGCAGGCTGAAGAGAGGGGGCACTTTGATGCCGTCCAACTATAGATACAGCAGAGAAAGTCAGCACCACCTCCCTGCCAGGAGCCTAGATGTGATGAGGTGTGGTATTCAAGAGGCATGAGGGACAAGGGACAGCGGGGGTGTCAATGGAGTGGGGGGTGGGAAGCCGAGTAAACCCTGGGAATAGATCGTCTAGCTGGACACGTTTGCTCCAGTGTTGTCTTTTTTCCCTGTGAAATGTACATAGCTGCGGGGAATCCCTGCA